AGAACTCCAGCTCCTCGGGCGGCGCATCGGACAGCAGGTCGTCCCAGCGCCGATGGACAGGAGTCCACTGACAGCGCACTGGTGTCAGCAGCGGATCGCGGGCTTTTGCAGCGGAAAAGATGTCTCGCCAGACTCGAGCGTGCTTCGATTTGCCTTGCTCCATTCCGGGTTCCAGGAGGTGCCTTCACGGACCAGGGATTCCAGGTCTAATGCGAATAGCTCGCATATCGTTCAGCACGTCCAACGGAATGAACAGTATACGGAATAGGACCGTATAGAACTTTGATGGGGGAGCCAAGTGAAAGGGTCGAGTCGGCAGACTGACCACCCGCACCTACGAACTTCACGACCGCTAGTCGAGAAGCCTGACCCGCCTGTGTACGACTTCGGGTCCCATGGGCCCCAAACGTCACCCCACTCGTAAACCTCCGAGGATACCGTGCTGAAGTGCAACAGGCCCATGGGAACGTCGGGGACCCCGTAGATGCGGTACCACGTGTCCCAGTCAGACTGCCCACACCGCTGCCCAGAAGCCTGAAGCCTGTCCCGAACTTCCTGGAGATGCCCTGGAAACTCATAATACTCTGATCGGGATCTCATTCAACAAGTAGAGGGCGTTCGTAAATTACATGGTCCCAACAGGAGCCGCTTTGCTCACCACAGGCTTTACATGGCCGCAGCGGACAGCCTTGCTTCATGTCCCGTCGGGATGGCATCGGTGCATTGTCTGCCTGCAGAGCCTGCAGCGCTCCCACGCGCTTTGGGCACTGGATCTTTGAGACTGCATGGCGAAGAGCCAGTTCCCGCGATCGTTGGCTAGGATATGCTCCGAGGCCATAGTCCAGGATATTCGCCGAACAGTGAGCCAGTTGGCCCCTAGGGGCCCGCGCGCCTGAGACCCGGAAGTAGAACGGCCCAGCTGTTCACCCAAACGAGCCCATGCTTGTCAAAGCCCACCAGGTTGAACTATCCCGTCGCATCAGCACGCCGAGTAGCTGAGGACAACGTCAGTAGTGGCGTAACTTATGATTGTGTGTGTATATATACATATATATCGGGCCGTAACGCTTATTGTTCAAACTACTTCTATGTGATATGGAATGACGTCGCACCCACCACGGTCTTACCAGGAGCACCGTTGAGAATGGCAGCGAACTGTGGCAGCTCGCGAAGTGCAGTGCCACCAACTCCAGCAACTGCAGCACCGCGCGCCAGCGAGGGCAGGGCGCCTGTGCGCCACAGGCTGGTGGCCGTCCTGCCGACGGCCGGTTTCAGACAATGTGGAAACGACGTTTTTGCCCTGGAAGCTGCCGCAACCTACGCTTCTCCATGTGGCGCAAACCCCTCGGCCCCGTGAGCTCGTGTCCGAGGTTCCTTATGCAGGGTCTGTGCGGGATCTTCAGGGCGCCGAGGTGCCCCTTGAGCTTCAGCCAGACTTTCATATTGGCCCAGGGACACATCCCGACTTTGGAGGCTTCAGAGCCATCCCAGGAGCACCACCATCCGACGTGAATGCTCTGGACGCCAGGGCCAAGTTCGCCACCTCCCCCCAGAGCAGGAGAAACATGCTGCAAACCCACGTCATCCATGAGCGTGCGCGGCGCGGCAGTGTGCGCTATGGTGGCGTTGCGCTGTACAGCACGGTGCGTGCGCAGGTACAATAAATATGTCGCCTGCGTGCACCCCGCTAACGTGTCCTGGTGTGCCAAGAAGTCCCGAGGCATGCCCCTGACGGCCCTGGTGCGCCTAGGTTGCCGACAGCTGCCCAGTAAAACCCACAGAAGCCTCACCACGATGGATCGGTGGCTTGCGGCTGCTGAGCCTTCACAGGGGCTCCACGGGGAAACTCCGTGCGTGACGTTTCGCGACTGGTTTACTAATTTCATCGTCGCGCAGGTCTCCCAGCTCGCGTGCCTCACCTGGAAGTGCACTAATGACTGTCCATATCGAAACTCTTTGCCATCTCCCTAGGAGAATGGTGCAAGTGTGTTCCCCCATCGCCAATCTCCTGCAGGTTGCGATCGAACATGGAGGCCGAGGATGCCTGGCCTGCTCTGGAGACCCACATAAGGTCACACCGATTCTCCTCCTGCCATGCGGCTGACCAAGGCCTCCTGAGCTTGCCCCAAAGCCTGACAAACGTATTGCTCAGCACAATCGATATGGTGTCGCCCTCGGGTGTCGGCAATCTGATGAGCTCACTATACAGGCGACCCGGCGGCCAGGCGAGCCAGCTTTCAAATCGCCTGAACATGTCAGCACGGCTCTGCAGAGCCTCGCTGGATAGCAGATCCAATGTACGCGGGGCTATCCTCGACTGGCCAGTGGCCGTCAAAGGGAGGTAGGTGGTCAGTGGGAAGTGACCGCTTCGCGGGCCTGCTGGCAAGTGCGCGGCGGTAACATGGGCCATTGATCATGATCTGACGGTAAGAGCATCGGCGCGGCTCCATGGTCTCTCCACACATCGCGCCAGGAGTCCAAGGTCCTGTCTGCCAGGTGGAACAGCTGCGCGCCTGGGGCGTAAGCCAGCGCCCCTTGTCGGGCACGAGCCTTCGAAGAAGAGTGGTCCCCAGAGACCACGCGACGCGGCACGTCAGCACCAACCCACCCCTTCTCCCTTGCCAGACGCACAAGACCGCTCTCTCTCCACGGCTCTGGGTTACCTCGGCCTGCACTCCAGCCCCAACGTAGCGCATGAACAGTATTGGCCCTACATCTCACCTCTTTTTCCACAGCACCGACTTCCTGCACCTCCTCTATTTGTACTTCTGCAACCCCAACTGAATCAGCGGCCCCCTCTTCATCCACTCCTAATGTAACTCAGGCCTCCACCAACCTACCCCTTCCTCACCTCTTCTGCCTGCAGCCCCCTCCCCCCCACCCTTCTCCCACTAGTCTTCACCTCCCCTCACCCAACGCCGCTACACTGGGGACGGGGGTTGCTCGAAGTTGTGATGGTAGCAGTGACCGTCATCGTGTACTTCATCTGGCGTTCTCTCCCATATCTCTCATACCTATCGGTTTTTGCTTTGCCATCCCCCCGCAGACGGCGGGGGGAGGGCTGCGAGGGCTGCACTTCTTATGGACATGGCAAGTCCGAAGCCACGAGCCATGAGAAGGAGCAGAAGGAGGATAATGAGGGAGGATGGAGGGAGAATGCAGGTTGGGATGAGATGCGATGATAATGGGGCTATAGGTTGGAAGAGGAGGGAAGGGTGAGGAGATGGAGGAGGATGAGGAGGAGACATACTCATGAGGATTACTACGAGGAGGAAGAGGGGGAATGTGAGAGGAATGATGCGGAGGTCGATGCTGACGATGATGCTGATGCTGCTGATGATGCGATGATGGCGATGCTGATGGCGATGCTAATGATGGACGACGATGCTGATTCTGATGATGTTGATGCTGATTCTGATGATGATGCTGATGCTGATTTTGAAGATGATGCTGATGCTGATGCTGCTGCTGATGATGCTGCTGATGATGCGGCTGATGTTGCTGCGGGATGATGGTGATGAGGAGGATGACGAGGAGGACGAGGAAGCGAAGGAGGATGAGGAGTAGAAGGAGGAGCTGACGCCACTGGCGGTCCGCAACATGGCCCGTTCTAACGTTAGAGGTGGAAGAGCAGGGGGAGGTTGATGGGGAGGGTAAGGATGAGCAGGAGGATTACTGGATGCGACCAGACTCGTGGAGTTCTGACCTCACTTAGATGCCACAACGTTGCGGAGATAGAGGAGACTCTAGGGGTTGCCGATGATACTGTTGATGATGCTGCTCATGCTGCTGCTGGAATGATCGATGCTGATGGCGATGGCGATGATGACGATGGGGATGATGCGTATAAGGATGAGGAGGATGATGATGGCGGTGATGATGATGATGATGACGAGACTGCTGCTGCTTACGATGATGCTGGTAATGCATGATGACGGGGTTGACGCTGATGACGACAACTGTGATGCTGCTGCTGATGATGATATTGATGGTTGTGGTTGTGGTGATGCTGATGCCGATGCTGACGATGATACTGATGATAATGTTGATGGTGGTGGCGGTGATGATGATGATAATCACGATGATGATGCTGACGATGATGGTGAGGATGCCGTTGATGACGGCGATGATTATGAATATTACGATGACGATGTTGGTGATTCTGTTGATGCTGATGATGATAATGGTGGTGGTGGTGGTGATGATGATGTTGATGATGATCCTGCTGCTGCTGATGATGATGATGTTGATGATGATGCTGCTGCTTATGATGCTGATGATGCTGATGATGCAGATTCTGCTGATGCTGCTGCTGATGATGCTGATGGTGGTGATGATGCTGCTGCTGATGATGATGCTGATGACGATGCTGCTGATGATGATGATGATGATGATGATGATGAGGGTCAGGAGGAGGAGGACAAGTAGGATGAGGAGGAGAAAGGGAAGGACGAACACCAAGTGGTGATGATGCTGATGATGATGAGGATGAGGATGATGATGATGATGATGTTGTTGATGATGATGATGATGCTGATGATGATGCTGCTGATGATGATGATGATGATGATGATGATGATGATGATGATGATGATGATGATGATGATGATGATGATGATGATGATGTGGAGGAGGAGGAGGAGGAGGAGGAGAGGAGGAGGAGGAGGAGGAGGAGGAGGAGGGAGGAGAGGAGGAGGAGGAGGAGGAGGCAGAGGAGGAGGAGGAGGAGGGGAGAGGAGGAGAGGAGGAGAGGAGGGAGGATGATGTAATAAGTCGGAGAGATGAGGAGGGGAAGGCGGGGAGGAAGAGGGCGAAGGGGGATGGCGAGAGGATGGAGGAGGGGGGAAACAGTGGTGTAGAAGTAGGAGGTTCCATGATGATGCCCAGGCGGAGGAGCTGGAGTACGATGACGTATGACGGCGGAAGGCGAGGGGAAGTGGGACGACGAGGAAGATGATGATGGTGATGATGATGGTGATGATGACGGTGGTGATGGTCATGATGATGGGTTGTCATGCTGCTGCTGATGCTGATGATGCTGACTATGATGATGGCGGTAAGGATGATGCTGGTGATGGTGATGATGGCGGGTGATGATAATGATGATGATGATAATGATGATGATGATGATGATGATGATGATGATGATGATGATGATGATGATGATGATGATGATGATGATGATGCTGAACATGATGGTGATGGTGATGATGAGGATGATGCTGCTGGTGGTGATGATGATGATGATGACGATGAACATGATGCTGGCTGATGGTGATGATGAGGAGGACGAAGAGGACGACGTGGAGTAGGAAGGAAAGGGGGGGATGAGGGAATCGGTTGGGCTGATGCTTTAGCTACGAGACTGCTAAACGTCAATTATCGCCTGACGATGTCGATAGGGTGGAAGCTGCTTGTAAATAGTGGCTCCACGTTATTCGGGCTTTTGCCTCCCTCCTGGAGCCCTGGGGCAAATAGCGTGATGTTTTTCGCGACCTCGAGAAGGTCCCAATGGCGCCTAGGGGGAGGATCCTAAACCCATGTGGACATGTTTTTGGATGGATTTTAAATAGATGGCAGTGCATATGTTGCGGTAGATCTACTGCATGCCCAGAGAGGTTTAGAAGGGGTCCCTGCACACCATTGCCCAGATCCCTTGCCGCTGTCTTGAGTTCCTCCAGCAGCCATCCCCACCCCACAACCTGTGAGCAGGTCGTATCGAAAGTACGGGGGCGGCTGTTGTCATTTGTTCTGTCTGCGGGTCATACTCAACGGGCAGACCCCATCATTCACTGTCAGCTTGTCATAGCATCAAGCGAGCTCAGCTCCGTATGCTGAAGAATTGCAGACTCCCCTGCCCCAAAGGTGTGCCCTTCTCCAAGCCATGGCGCATCAGGGTGGGTCAAACTTCCTTGAGTCTTTTCTGCGGCAGCTGAGGTGTCTCGGTTCCGGTGTTTACCGGGCTTTCGTATTTTCAAATGTCCCCATCGTTTTTTTTGCTGGAGTGGTTGCCCGTACGTGGCCAGCTTCCCGCTTCTTTCAGCCCCCCAGGGGGCAGGAGGCTCCGATCTGGGATTGGTTCGCTCCTCAGTGCCGTGTATGTATAGGGGGGCTGCGGGCCGAAGGGCAGGGAAGACGACGAGGCGAGGAGGGCAACGCTGCGCCCCGCCGAGGTCGCGTCCAGCTGAGCCCTCGGTGCGCGTGGCGCGTGCGGCTGGGAGGGCACGGACTGCGAGGGCCCGCGCCGCTCCGCCGAGACCCCGGGGGGTTCGCTCGGGGCCGTGGCCGCTGCTCCAAGTTGGGCAGGGTGGTTGCCAGAAGTCTTCCTGGTCCACAGCTGCCTCGATACGCTCGTGCAGAAGCGCAGCACGTACCGTGCTCCATACGGCCGGGCTCAACACGCTGCGTGTTGGCTCAACGTGCTGACCCACGTTTCAGCGAACGTATCACGCCACACCTACGTTTTCAGTCGACATGTTGACCCCCGTGTCCACACGCTACGTGTTGCGTGTTGCCTTCGGGGGCAGCTGAGCCCCGGGCTCGGCACTGTCGAGTCTGAGGTGTTGAGGCACATTCGGCCTCGGGAGGGAGCCTCGGGCCCCAGGGCTGTCGAAAGACGAATCAGACTCAGGACGAGAAGCTGGTCCCGGGGAAAGAGTCGAGAGGTCAGGGGCCCCGAGTCACGGGAGCGCCGAGTCGTCGGAGGTCTCGGAGGATGTTCCGAGCTCTTCGCGCCATTTGTGGAGCTCCACTGGTGCCCTCTGGGCCTCGTGGCTGGTGGTCTGGAGGCCGTCTGGGGCCCCCGCGGGAAATCTTAGGGACACCTCTGGTCTAGGGGCACCCGTGGCCAACACATGTAGTGGGTGGGGCAAAGCAGCAACCCGACAGACCCCTCTACACCCAAACAGTGCTTGAACTCAGGAATTCTTGTTTGTTCTCGCACGTAGTTGGGTGGTAGTTCTGGATCTTCGCCTGGTACCCGCCCGTGGGCGCCTCGTGGGCGCATAGTGTTTTTTTTCTTTCAGATGCCCGCCCGTGAGTTCCGACATAGCTTGTGTTACGTAGCTTGCACCACATAGCTTACACCACATAGGTTGCACCACATAGCTTGCACCCCATAGCTTGCACTCTATCGCTTGCATCGCATCGCTTTTCATCCCATAACTTGCAGGTGCCCCGCACTGTTTACACCACATAGCTTCCAGCATACATTTGTCACAGCGTAGCTTGTGCCACATAGCTTGCACCATACAGCTTGCACCACATAGCTTGTACCCATAACTCGCACCACGTTGCGTTAAACCACATAGCTTGTAAACACCCTTCAATGTTCACACCGCATAGCTTCCAGCATACCTGTTTCACAGCGTAGCTTTCATTACATAGCTTGCACTATATAGCTTGCACCACGCAGCTTGCACCACAAAGGTGACACCACACAGCTTGCACACCACAGCTTGTACAGCAGAGCTTGTACCAGATGTGTGGCACCACATCGCTTACACCACGTAGTTTGCACCACATACCTTGCACCGTATAGCTTGCCCCGTGTATCTTGCCGCATCATCTTGCGTGCACTACTCAGCTCGGGTCACATCACCTGCACATCCAGAGTGCAGTATGTCAATGTTGTGGGCCTACGTTTTTTGCTGTTCGGTTATTTGTCATAGAAGTACGTGCTTGTTTTCAGGATCAAGCCCCTTCGTCTCCAGGCAGTGCCCACTCCCGGCGCCGAGAGGCCCATCTACACTCAGACGAGCGAGGATGGGGAGGAGGTGAATGAGGGGGAGGGCGAAGGGGCCGACGGGGTGAGCGAGTGGGAGCTTTTGGCGGTTCTGCAGGGTTCCAGAATGAGATGGCGGAGGGGGTGACTCCCTCCTCGACGCCCAGGTGCAAGCTGTGCTCTGCATCTCCCCAAGTGCCATCGGGGACAGTCCGATATTCTTCCGCGATGCGACTCGACCCCTTACCCGATGTCACGAGCACCAGCTCGTTGCAGCCGCCCATGCCGATAGGATGGGCAATGTAGACGCGTGAGCATGCGGACAGTAGCTTGTAGTGTCACGATAGGGGAACTGGCTGCTGAGAAACAGAGCACGCAGCCGTGGCCTGTCTTGCTGGATCGTGACCCTCCGCGGGGAGACTACCGCAGCGACGCGTCTGGATCCCGCGCGTCTGCACGGTCGAAGTCGGCGGGCAGGAGCACGACTACGGGTACGACAGGGGGTAGGATGAGCAGGAGCAGGAGCAGGAGTCGAGTTAGCCAGGCCTAGCGAGTCAGAGGGCCCCGACTGCTCCGACCCGCACTCTCGGAACATGAGAACCACTTGTGGCACGACTTGAGCCTGCAACCCTCGTCAAAATTAACCTCAAAAATGTCTGACGTGGTTGAACTGCTTGTCGGAAGATCTGGGGCCGAGTATCGATGAGTGCGGGGTACTTGCATGCGCCGCCCCTCCAATGTCGGTCGACGTCAAGGTTTCGAGTCAACTTCGGTCAGACTATCTCTGCCCTCGCCCCGACACTGAAGGGGCGGCGTGTCGACATTGAGGGGCGCGCCGAAATCGAAATGACGTGCCAGCAACTGTTGAGGTTAATTTTGACGAGGGTAGTGGGATCGGAACGCGCTCCCACCTCGCAGGCGGAAGGCGCGCGCGCGCGGCCCCGTCTCTGACGACTCTTCGAGCAGAGGCAACTCCTCGGGCCGCGCAGGGGCGGGGGCGGCAAAACTGCCGGTGGGCGCGGCGGAGACGAAGCGTGCGCCGCGCTGGCACCCTGCTGCTTGGCATCGCTCGGACGTGTGCATTTTTCCTTCGGCGAGGACCATCGAGGAGCATCCTTGATTATTTGGCGAAAAAGCCACGCACGAAACCGAAAAAAACACAGGGAATGGACGTCCGAGCGATGGCCAGACTGCCCCTTCCACTCACAGACTGCGCGGTGCTTGGGGGCGAGGGTGGCACTTCGCCCGCTCTCGCGGCGGCCCTGCCGCCGCTGTCGCTCGCGTGCGATGCGGCGCGGTTCGGCGAACGAGCCATGCGCCGCGCCCGCGTTGGACAACACTTCCGAGCGAAGTGCGCACGGATCTTTGGCGAATGCGACAAGTCGCGCTCGACCTCTCGGGCTTCCCAAAGTTGGCGAATGACAAAGATGCGCCGCGCCGAGGCGGGGCCGCCACTTTCAGGCGAATTCTGCGCGTCGCCGCGGCGAGAGCTATATTTTTTCCCGCTCGCGCGCTGACGAAGCTGCGTGCGACAAGTGTGCGCTGCGCCCCAGCGGCAACTCAAACTCTTTCGAAAGTGAGGGCGTCACCGATGTGAGCCTTTCGCGTGGGATGTGGGCCCCGTCCCATTCATGTCACGCGTTCTGGACGTACTGCTTATGTTGAGACACACCTTGTTTTTCTTTCAAATGTATGATAGAAGGGCCTCTGTCGGGCCGTTATCTGTTGGCTGGGTGACAGAGCAGGGGTATATTCCACTTGGGGATACTGGTATGAGTCGGGGTAGGAGTCGGAATCCAGTTCGCCAGGCCGGGCTAATCAGATGGCCCCGTCTATTTCCACCCTCCTTCCCAAACCATGCGGATGAATTGTTTACGCTTCGCGAATCCCCACCAGCCCATTCAGAAGCCCTGCCCATGAGAGCTGACGGGAAAAGGGACGAAGAGACACATATAGTGAAACAGAGCGTGCAAGGAGAGGAGAGGCAGGAGGGTGTTCAGCCATCTTGGATCTTGGAGCATCGGAGGCCTTCTTGGAGCTACGGGGCTCTATTGGGGGATAGTGGGGTTCTCTTGGAGCTCTTCTTGGGCATCTTGGGGCCCTTTTGGGGCTCTTTGGGGGTTCTTGTGGTCCTCTTGGTACTTTCTGGGCGCGTTGGGGCCCTTATGGGGCCCTCTTGGGGCTCTCTTGGGGCCCTCTTGGGGCTCTCTTGGGGCGCCTCCTAGGGCCATCTTGGAGACCATCGATCAATGGAGGGGGTGTCCTCGATTTCCCTCCCCCCTCCGGGGCCATCGAAATAGCCCCTTGGGGCGCTCTTGGGACCATCTTGGGGCGATCTTGGGCGCTCTCGGGGCAAACTTGGGGCCCTCGTGGGCCCTTCTTGGAGCTCTCTTGGGCCATCTCAGGGTCATCTTGAGGCCTCAAAAGCACATCGGAAGCGACACGACGAGAAGGCAAGCATCAGTATTTTTTCTTATGTTTCTGAAGGATTTTGGCTTCTCGGGGAGGTCCTCAGGGGTCGCATAAGCACCTTGAACCGTCTTGTGGCCCTCTTGGGGCCTTTTGGAGGCATGTTGTTAGCTATCTTGAACAATGTCGGGCTATCTTGAGCGATCGTGGATGCCATCTTGGACTCTCTGAGGCCCTCTTGGAGCCATCTCAGGCTATCTTGGACGCCCTGACCGCTCGCGAACCCCCTGTCAAGGTCCAGGGGAGGGGGCAGGGGGAGGGGTCAAGACACCCCCTGGAAAGCAAGCCGTCTAGCTCACTCCCACCCGCCCTCCCAACACATAAGTAGCATCCGAGCCTCACCATGTTCAGCGGTCGTCTTTGGATGCCGACCAAATGTGCGCGACGCTGGGGCGAGTTGCGCCACGGGTGCCAGGCGCGCCACGCGCGCCAGGCACCCTGGGGGCCCGAGTGTGCCAGGCACGCCTGGTGCGCCAGATGCGCCACGTGCTCCGTGCACGCCAGGTATGCCGCATACTCCAGCCGCGCCAGATGCGCCACGTTCGGGGCACGCGCAGAGTGTGTCAGGTGCGATTGCGCATGTTTCAACACACATCGGGAAATATGTCGGTCCCCACCATCCATGTCGAACAGCAATGCCCATCATTGTGTCTGGTGGGGCCTGCGTTCAGCAGGCCATACGCCACCACCCCCGCCGTCGCTGTTGAACATTACGCAACCGAGGAACCCCACATACTTTTATTATGGCTGGAGTGATGATAGCTGAAGTGAAGAATGTGAGAATGATGTTGGTGGCCGTTGCCCCGCCGATACTGGTGGTCACGCCAGTCAAGAGGAGAGGACAGAGGAGAGTGGGGAGGAGATAAGACAAGTTTTTGCTCAATACACATGGAAGGCGACCTGCAGCGCGCATGAGGCAACGAACACTGGAACGCGATCTTCGGCGGAAAGCCTCTGATCAGATCTGAGAGAAAGGAAATGCTCGGCGGCCCCCGA